AAGTGGCATCAGTCCTACAGCACTGCCATATAGGACCTTGTGCAAGTTATTTTGGAGAAAGTAGGACAACATCCAATCTACAATCAGGACTATATTGTCCTACTTTACACAATGATGCTCATAACTTTGTAAAAAGTTTCTATCAATGTCAGTGAAGTGGAAATATCACTAGAAGAAATGAAATGCATTTAAATGGAATTCTGAAAGTAGAATTATTTGATGTTTGGGGTATAGACTTTATGGGACCTTTTCCGCTGTCCAATAGTTGTGTCTACATATTGGTTGATGTGCACTATGTGTCCAAATTGGTGGAAGCTATGGCTTGCCATTCCAATGATGCTAAAACAGTTATTAAGTTTTTATAAACGCACATGTTCACTAGATTTGGTACACCTCGTGCCTTAATTAGTGATGAAGGCACTCACTTCATAAACAACCTACTAGAAGAAGTTCTTGACAAGTATGACATCAAGCATATAGTAGCCACTGCCTACCATCCTTAGACCAATGGATTAGCTGAATTGTCAAATAAGGAGATAAAAGGAATTTTAGCCAAAGTAGTCAAACCACATAGAAAATATTGGGCCTCTAAGTTAGATGTGCTTTATGCGCCTATCAGGCTGCTTTCAAAACCTTTATTGGTATGTCACCCTACAAACTGGTCTTTGGAAAAGCATGTCATTTACCTGTAGAACTGGAGCACAAAGCCTATTAGGCTATTAAGGAGCTTAATATGAATTTAGACGATGCTGGGAGAAAAAGAACCAACAACTCTGCGAACTAGAAGAACACAATAATTTTTTCCTAGGAAAGTACTAAACTTTACAAAGAAAATACAAAAAAATGGCATGATAAAAGGATTCTTCCAAAAGAGTTCACTAAAGGTTAAAAAACCTTGTTATTTAACTCTATGTTAAAATTATTTCTTGGAAAACTAAATTCAAGATGGACCGGACCTTACATCATTGGCAAAGTGTACCCTTACGAAATTATAGACTTAATAGATCCAGGTAGAGGTACTACTTTCAAGGTAAACGGACAAAAGTTAAAACCTTTCTTTGATCTCATGGCTCTCACATAACCTGTTGATGTTGTTTTTCTAAAATAAATATCTAATAATTGGGTTTTCCATAAAGCCAAGCTTAGTGTAAATATTGCTTTTTAAATTTTTATGTTTTATTTTACTTTATATTTTTAAAGTTTAGTTTAAATTTAATTTTTTTAGGATAAAATTCTAATTTTAGTTGTTTTTATTATCATTATATTAAAATTTTGGGCTTAGCTAAATTTTGGGCTGAGGCTTTTGTAACAAGCCCATGGCTACTTTTCTTTTCTCTTTGTTTATCTCATTACATAGGCCCAAGGCATTTCGGCCCATCTCAAGGCCCGCATCATCACAAAGGTCGATTGAATTAGCCTTCCAAGAATTCTCAAATCAATCCACACCTTGCAGCATATTGTACTTGTTTCTTGCAGATTACAACTCACCCAGGCCATAATTTTCAAAAGTGATTTGACTTCCTAGTTGGCGCCCTAAAGAATCTGCAAATCGAGTACAAATTCTGAGCATTCAACCGTTCTTCCAATAAAGGTTAGTACAATTGTCACTTCAAATTGAAAACTGATTTTCATACTTGGGGAAGAAGCATTCACGAACTTAAAAACACTCTGATTTCTCATCGCATTCACTGTCCATTCATCATTTCCCTTCATCCTCGACACAGTGCTCTTTCACCATTACTATGAACTCTAATAGTTATCATCAAGTCTCGACCAAGAAGGAGAGTATCACCCTCTGATGCTACCCTATCTCAACCCACAAACACTGAAGCCTCTCACAATAGACCCACTACCCAGCCAGAAAGCATTATTCATGCTATACCTCTTAACCAAGTTCCTTTTGAGGAACCACCACCATAACCTCTAATCACAAGAAGGTTAATAAGGAGTAAAGCAAAGGGGAAAACTAATCTGAAGCCATTCAAGAAAAAGAAAGGGAGTGTGGTTTTAGTATCTGCTGACACTGATTCATTGCCTGATCATGAATCACCACAAAGTAAAGTGCAAAAATCTACAAGAGGTAGCACTTCTAATCCTTTGGATGCACTAGCAGAGGTTGCTAGGGCACAAGTAATCACACCACCATCTTCCCCTATGAAAACTCCACAACAAGAAACAAGTATCTCCATACCCCTACCTTTGACTGTCAATATGGTTACTGCTTTCACCTCAAGACCCTCAAGCCAGTGTCGGCACCCTGTTGAGGTAATCCCTTGATGAGGCAATAGATGCCTCAAATGAAATTTTAGGGATAAAGAAAACCCCTCCACAAACCGAGGCCCCTACCATCACCATGGTTAATATTAAACCCCCTTTGATCACTAAAATCACACCTAAGGGTAGTTCCTCTTTCAAACAAGGTGTCCATGAAGCGCTTGCAGCCATGGACATATTCATTGGAATAGAACCCTCTACTAATCAAACACCCTCCATCAACCCAATCCCCATTACAGATATTGTTTCCAATCCAATCCCATCCATTGAACCTTCTAATACCTATGATGATCAACCAATGGAAGAATACCTAGCCAATGAGCCTTCTGAACCTCTTACTTAGGGATGGGAATGGGGCGGGGATCCTAACACCCCTCCCCGTCCTGATCCCCCGTATGTGTCCCCGTCCCCTATAACACACATGTTACTGAAACACTATTACCGCATAATTCTTGAGTTTAATTACAAGGAAAATCTCAACAAAATATGGGATACATGTATATACCATCAAAAGATAAGTTTGTACCAACATTTACATCTAAACTACCGAAGAGTGTTCATACGGAAAACATCAACCCGGAAAAATGACAATTATACAATTAATACCCAAAAGTATAAACTACCATGTACCAAAAAATGACGATCCCTGCTTCCGACACGAACAATCAACGGTCAAACAACTTTCTCTTTACCCCTATCTTCTTTTCCTGAAACGTTTACCACAAGAAGGATAAGCTAACAAAGCTTAGTGAGTTTAAATGGACATCATGTGCATCATGTCTCACATAAGTTCACATACAATGAAAGTCAAGGAGTACAAGGGTCAATTATCATCAAATGCCTGTTCTATCAAAGCATATTTTCTCAAGGAAACAATAAAGGCAATCAACTTTCAACGAGTACTCAATCACATGAACTTATCCCATAAACACATCGGATACTCATAATCATGCTATGTATAGCTAGTACATTAACCAACAATTTATGAATAAAACAATCAACAAAGATTTGGTTTAACTGACCAATCCATGTTCCTCCACTTCCGGATGGTGTACAAACCCTATACTCATCTTCTTGCAATAACCATCCTCCATCCCCGGACAGATGAGTAGGGACAGCCCCCTCCGGTTGTCTCACCCGGATCCAAAGGTGCCCGACAACCAGCGCCCAACACAAGAACAAAGCAACAAAACAAACCATTACAAGGAGTGATCATGGTATAACAAGTATGAAGACTATAAGGATAGGACATATACACATATAGCACAAAATAGACACATATTCAAGTAAACTCACATTACAATTCAGTTGTATTAAACCAAGTGGTCGAATACCTATTCCAATTCCAATTCAAAGGTTGAAAACCACCTCCAAGACTTCCATACAATCTTAAACAATCCCTGGAAGTCATATTCAAAGTCTCATTAGTGATGCACATCAAGAACTTACACAAATCTCATTTCAATTAAGGCACTCTACTTTGAATTCCATTCTAAACACTTAACTTGCAGACCCATTTTGATGCTTTCAAACTCAAATTCACCAATTCACCTCTGAAGGTAAGTTGTATCACTTTGTCTTACCTTTTCAGAGCTTATTTATACATAATTTTAGGAATCTTATACTATTTTCTAGGATTTTTCAAAGACAGGGCTATAACCATGCTAACATATGCTCAAAACATCCATTTTTCATTAAAAAAACATGACCAATACTAGTCCAATCATTTTCAAATTCATAGATTCACTTATTTTTACCATATTACACAATAAATTAATCATAAACCAAGATTATTACATCAATTTCCTACCAATTTCATCATATTTCACTTTGCCTCCAAAAAATCAACACATGTTCTTGAGTTAACATTATACTTTTCAAGAAATCTTACAGTCCATCCATGGATTTCACATACTAATAGATAATAACACTTAATCTTAACATAATTTCATTACTAAATCATCACATGCATGGACTTAAAACTAATCAATTATGTACAATATCAAAAATAAGGCTAGGAGGTGAGTTTTACCTTTGATTTCTCCTCAAATCCTTCAAAAGTCTTGTTAAATCACTTGATTTAGGGTTAGATTAGCTCCCAAGTGTGTGTGTTCTCACCTTAGAACACCAAGCACTGATTTTGGGTTAAATGTGGGGTAAAATGGGGCTGTTTTGGGTTTTTTCACGACTTAAACCCGAGTTGGGTCGGATTTGATTCGGTTTGGTACCCATTTTGACTACTAAACACTAAAAATTGCATAACTTTTCGCTCGGAACTCCGTTTTCGATGAGGTTTTCTCCTACGCGTTCGTAAGACAGAAAGTATCTCCCAATAAAGAAGTTTTACTTATTTGTAACTTAGACATTATACTTTCTTTAATTCCATTAGTTGATTTTATGATCAGAATCACATAAAAAAATTCTACAACACTTATAATACCTCCGGCCCAAATGATTCTAAACTTAGTTCCAAACTTTCGAATTCCATAAAAGTCTTTCGTTCGAACCCAATGCTGAAAACCATACCGAAAAAATGATATTTCCAACACATACTTAGCCAAAACGCAACATACTTTGATTTCTCAACATTTAACCACTCCAAAATCTTACTCAAACATGTTTAAGGATATTCCAACCTTTAGATCACATATAAGCATAAAGTTAAGGCATATTAGGAAGATGGATATTACAAATACCTTATCCTTTTGAGGATTTCGTCCTCGAAATCAAGGTCTGTCAAATAACTCTGAATACTTGGCCTTCATTTCATCTTTGTTCTCCCACGTCCCATTTGGACCATGGTGATGCTTCCATTTAGCAAGCACCAAATCTACAATCTTATTTCGGAGATTAACGGTTCTTTCATTTAGAATGGTTTCGGGTTCTTCTATGCACCTCAATCTTTTATCCAACTTGATCTCCTCCAATGGAACAGTCTCATCATGTTTACCCAAACATTTCCTTAGATAGCCCACATGGAAAACGTCATGAATACCGGAGAGTTCTTTCGGCAACTCCAAATGATAAGCTTGTTTTTCAATGCACTCAAGGATTTTAAATGGCCCAACAAAACGTGGACCCAACTTCTCTTTTTTGCCAAACCGTAGAATTCCCTTCCAAGGTGATACCTTCAACATCACCATATCTCCCACTTCAAACTGAATCGGTCGTCGTCGTTTGACAACATAAGATTTATGTCGATGTTGGGCTGCTTTTATTCTTTCACGTATAACCCATATCTTATCATGTGTGACTTGAATTAACTTTGGTCTGACCAACACTTTCTCTCTGGTTTCTTGCCAACAAAGAGGCGTATGACACTTACGTTCGTACAAAGCCTCAAATGGAGCCATACCGATTATGGAGTGATAAATGTTATTATACGCGAATTCCACGAGTGGCTAGTGGTTATCCCAACTTTCACCAAACTCCAAGATACAAGCTCGTAACATATCCTCCAAGGTTTGAATTGTACGTTCTGACTGTCAATCGGTTTGGGGATGATACGCGGTACTAGGTGCGACACGCGTCCCCAATTCTCTTTGCATACTCGACCAAAAATTCAAGGTAAACCGAGAATCACGATCAGAAACTACCTTTATCGATACACCGTGACAAGCAATAATCTCAACAATGTATATTGTGTCCAACAATTCATAGAATAATCTTCCCGAACTACGAGAAAATGAGCACTGTTTGTCAACTGATCAACAATCACCCAAACACTATCGTGCTGATGAGAAGTCTTTGGTAGTTTCATTACGAGGTCCTTGATCACTTCCCATTTCCAAACCGGTACCTCCAAAGGTTGTAAACTACCATAAGGCTTTTGGTGTTCAACCTTCACTTGCAAACACGTGACACATCTCTCAACAAAATGCCCAATATCCACTTCCATACCCGGCCACCAATACTCAGTATGCAGATTATGATACATCTTTGTACCGCTGGGATGAACATACATTCTAGATTTGTGAACTTCTGCTAGAACAGTCTCTCGTAAACCACCAAGTTTCGACACCCAGATTCGGACCCTAAACACTTTCTTGCCACGACTATCATCTGAAAGAGAATCTGCACATCCAACCATCCGCTTAGACTTCACATGTTCAGGTTTTAAGGCTTCAACTTGCCATCTTCATAGATAGTCAATAAACGTAGACTCTATAGACGTGTGAGTGATGATGTAACGCATATAAGAGACATACACTTTTCAACTCAAAGCATCTGCCACTACGTTGGCTTTACCAGGATAATATAGTATCTCACAGTCATAGTCTTTTATTAACTCTATGGCCCTTTATTGTCTCATATTCAGAGTCTGTTGATCGAAAATATACTTCAGGCTCTTGTGATCCATGTATAATTGACATTTTGTTCCAGAGAGATAATGACGCCATAATTTCAAAGCAAACACTACCGCTACCAACTGAAAATCATGAATGGGGTAGTTCTTCTCATAGTCCTTCAACTGTTCGGAGGCGTACGCAATCACCTTGTCTCGTTGCATCAATATGTAACCCAATACCAACTTTGATGCATCACTATAGACCACGAAGTCATCGTTACCTTCGGGTAAGGCAAGAATATGAATGTTCGTTAGACAAGCTTTCATGGTCTGAAAAGCTTTCTCTTGTGCTTCATTCCTTACAAACTTCACATCTTTGCGAGTGAGTGAAGTAAGGTGAACATAAATATTTGAAAAATCTTTTATGAATCGTCGGTAATAACCCGCTAAGCCAAGAAAACTACGGATTTCTGAGGCTTTCTTCTGTTGTTCCCATTTCTGAACTGCCTCAATTTTAGACGGGTCGAAATAAACAACCACACTATAAATCATATGCCCCAAGAATTGCACCCCTTGGAGCCAAAATTCTCATTTTGAGAACTTGGGCATATAATTTCTCCTTTCTTAGTAACTCCAACATCTAGCAAAGATGTGTAGCATGATTAGTTTTTGACTTACAATACACAAGTATGTCATCAATGAAGATAATGACAGACTTATCGAGTATAGATCGACATACTCGATTTATCATATCCATGAATACAGCTGGAGCTTTCTTCAAACCAAACGGCATTACCAAAAACTCGTAGTGTCCGTATCGGGTACGGAAAGCCGTTTTTGGTACATCCTCATCCCATACCTTGAACTGATGGTATTCATATCTGAAATCGATCTTGGAGAAGTAATTCACTCCTTGCAATTGATTGAACAAATCATCAATACGAGATAACGGATATTTATTCATGATTGTTACCTTGTTCAACTCGCGGTAATCAATACACATGCGAAATGAACCATCCTTCTTTTTTCACGAATAACACCAGAGCACCCCAAGGTGCAGTACTCAGTCAGATAAAACCTTTATCCAGCAACCCCTGTAATTGGCTCATGATTTCCTTCATTTCTGTCGGGGCAAGACGATAGGGTTTCCTTAATAGGTGCAACACCTGACACAATTTCAATTCGATATTTTACTTTCCTGTCTGATGGTAGACCAAGAAAGTCATCAGGAAAGACATCCTAGAATTCACAAACTACGGGTACATCCTTTGTCGACCTCTTTCCTTTTTTGGGTGGCATCTAAAACATATGCCATGAAAGAAGTGCACCCCTTAGATAAATATCGACGAGCTTTGAGTACATAAATTACCTTGATGTCACCGACCCTTTTTTCTCTGTACACATAAATATAATCTTCTTCATCGACTGGTATTCGGATCATCCGCTGCGAGCAAATAATATCTGCCCGGTTTTCTACTAACCAATCCATAAATAACCACATTGAAGCCATGTATATCCATAGGGATTAAGTCTACAGAGAAGTTTTGATCATCCAATACTAATGTACAATCTTTGAATACTCTATCAGCTACTAAAGTGATTCCATTAGCGGTATCCACAAAAAACGGTCTATCAAGAAAGACAGGGACAAAATTGTAGAAAGCAAACATAAGTATGCAACATAAAGGAATTTGTAGCACCACAATGAAATAATATACGTGCAGGATGAAAATTCACAAAAAAAATACCAGTAATGACATCCGGCTCCTCCCGAGCCTCCTCTATTGTGATCTAGAATGATCTATCCTTTGCTCTTGGTACCTCCTCCTTTCGAGCTAAGGCACCTACAACCATCAATTGTTGTACTTAGGTATTACTCTCCTCATGTTTGGCATTTGGGAAATTAGATTGACGATGGCCATAAACACCACATGTATGACACACCTGATCCCGTCTTAGGCAATTTGTAGGAACATGCCCAATTTCACCATAGCAATAACACGTAATTTTGGAAGATTCAAAGAAACATCGTCCGGGGTGCGTCTTGCCACATCGTTGGCAATGGCGAGGGGTGTTCGATTACAAAGAATTTGTATTAGTTCCACAATTCACATATTAATTTTACTTGTATTCACAATATTATACCTGCATGGAATAGGCTTGAAACGGGGCTCGAGGAGCACTCTGGGGCTGACTCCTTCTCGAAGTGAAGGATCGATTAGGTCAATTTGTAGGCACATAAGTTGTTCTTTCATTTTTATTTCTCTTTGGTTCGATTGTGGATTCACCATAGAGAGAGAGTTCGTGCTCTCGTCGTCGAGCATACTCAACCGTCCTCCGAAAACTCGTAAGATCACGATTCTATACAATTTCTTTAATCTCTCTCCTCAGATCATCAACAAGATGTTCAATATTGTGTTTGTTCAGATGTAACAAAACATGAGGAAAAACGTGCCTTCTAATTGAACGGGGTCTCATATTGCACCACAATCAAATATCCTCCTTTAATGTCAATGAACTCTTTTTCTACCCGCTTCTGCAAGGCAGCGGGACAGTATTGTTCATGAAAAATGGTTTTGAAGCCTTCCCAAGTCAAAGTATTATTTTGGGTCTCATTTAGAGACTAGTAGGTTGCGTCCCACCATACCAGCGCACTGCTCACAAACATAGCAGCCGCATAATTAACTTTATCCTCCTCCAAGACTTTGGAGATCCTGAACACTTTTTTCGGGTTTTGTAGCCACTCGATGGCTACAATTGGATCTGAAATCCCATTAAGTTCAGTTGCTCCACAAGTTTTGGATGATTTAAACGAAGTTTGGGTGGACTTGGATTGAGAAGTGGCACCTGTATCAACCCGTTTCCCTCTCATATATCCTCCTTTCGTTTGCTCTCTAAGAGCTTGTTGCACGAAATTGGTAACCCGCTTCATCAATTGTTCACCACGAGGAGTTAAAGGAGCATCCTCCTCGAAAAGTGAATCAATACCCAACTGAAGGCGTGGGGTTACGTCACCCTCAATTAAATTCGAGTTATGCCTACCAATATTCGGGTTCGTTGGTGTATGACTTACATGATCGTCATGATCAGACATTGTTATAAAAATGACAAGTACCAATAATATTAAACAACATCCTAATAAATGTCCCTTTATCCACTTGTGTCTTTCTTATAGTTCGTATCCCGTATAAATCAACTTAGTTACTATACAATCTTATTGCCTAGGTTTAAGTCTAGATACCATTTCTGGTACCTAGTTCACTTAAACCACTGCTCTGATACCATATTTGTAACACACATGTTACTGAAGCACAATTACCACATAATTCTTAAGTTCAATTACAAGGAAAATCTCAACAAAATACAGGATACATTATATACCATCAAAAGATAAGTTTTGTACCAACATTTACATCTAAAATACCGAAGAGTTATCATTCTTAACATCAACCCAGAAAAGTGACAACTATACAAGTACTACCCAAAAGTATAAACTACCATGTACCAAAAGATGACGATCCTTGCTTTCGACACGAACAATCAACGGTCAAACTACTTTCTCTTTACCCCTATTTTCTTTTCCTAAAATGTTTACCATTAGAATGATAAGCTAACAAAGCTTACTGAGATTAAATGGATATCATCTGCATCATGTCTCACATAAGTTCACATACAACGAAAGTCAAAGAGTACAAAGGTTAATTATCATCAAAGGCATGTGCTATCAAAGCATAGGTTCTCAAGGAAACAACAAAGGCAATCAAGTTTCAACGAGTACTCAATCACTTGAACTTATCCCACAAACACATTGGATACCTATAATCATGCTATGCATAGTTAGTACATTAACCAACAATTTATGTACAAAACAACCAACAAACATTAGGTTTGACTGACCAATCCGTGTTCCTCCACTCTTGGATGGTGTACAAACCCTCTACTTATCTTCCTGCAACAACCATCCTCCATCCCTGGACAGATGAGTAGGGACAGCACCCTCCGGTTGTCTCACCCAGATCCAAAGGAGCCCGGCAACCGGCGCCTAACACAAGAACAAAGCAACAA